TGAGAGCTGAACTTCTGCGGGCTCGGATATTCAGGCGATTGCACAAGTCCTGATGCAAAAAGTTTGTTTAGTTAGGAGACGGCAGTGAAGGTTTTGCAGCTTTGGAAATGTCGAGGCAAGTCCTGCTGGCACTCGACGCCCGTACGCTTTCCTGAGTTCCAGAATTCGTAGACGAACTCGTGCACCAAGACCCCCCAGCCTGAACCTCTGGAACCTAAACCCGAAGCCACCGGCTCTGCCTGGTTGCGACGTGATTACCTATAGCCACAACAAGATAAGAGTGACTGCAATCCTTGGTGGCCCAAAACGCCATAAAGACGAGCATCGATTTTCAACCCAGGTCCACCTCATCCGGGGCGTTCCTGAATGATGAGGGCTTGTTTACAGCACAGGCAGGACTGGGACAAGAGATAAAAAGCCTTGCATCTCCTGCAGTTTCAGGGCCCTTTCCGCTTTGAGTCGTGGTGGTGAGCACACACGCGGCTTCAATCCACTACACCTTGCCAGGCCCTCTCCGCAGCCAAGTGGGTCTGGCTCTTAGTCAAGGTTGTCGTTTCAGGAGTCCTTCCAGCTTGCTTTTTTGGTTCAGTGAGGGTCGTCAATTCCTGTTTCGCGATATTAATAAAGCAAAAGCCAACTAGTTAACATTCGCTTTAGACTACTGCCGACTTTAGACATAAACCAACGTTATTGTGCAGGATGGCGCATGCAGTCGATTCGTTGTTCCGGTTTTGGATGTACTGCGCATCTATCTGGATATGCATACACAGCTGCGCACTCATTCTGCATTCTGATTGTGAAATCTAGAATCTAGACTCTACTAGACTACTGCCAATGCATGTGTACTTGTCCCACCTATATTTCCGTCTTCTTTACATGACCCTGCAACATAAACATAAACATGGTCGTCAAAACATGTTCTGTTTAATCCTAAACTCGGTAGACCCTAAACATGCTCTTGGCGTGCGAGCGCCGATACATATTCTTCATAAGTATGGGTGTTTGGCCAGGGCTTCAGGCTTAGAGCAGGATTCAGTGGGGTTTGGGGGCAACGGGTCAACAAGTCTATGAAGCAATCTCAGGAGCCCTATTGAATCCTCAAGACTTGAGATACTGTCAGGCGTTGGGCGGCCTTTCCGCCGTAGTCAGGAACAGACTCACCCTAGCAAGTGGTGCATCTGAATCAGCCAGACCATGGAAATGATTTACGCCACCTTGTTTGAGGCCAAAGGAAGTTCCCTTCCCTTTCTGGCCGCTGGCACGTTTGCCTCACTCCTGCAGCATTTCAGGCCGCATCGGGGCTGGGGGACTTTGGAAGATTAGTAGGCATGCTTACGTGTTCACTCTCGTATTGAAGCTTCGGTTCTGGGGACGTGGCTCGAGGGGAATGACACGAAACCATGTCATGACACCTCGTACCTGTTCGTTCCAATATGTTCCGTTGTATCTCGTGGAGGACTTTAGAAGCAACCCAACCCATGCTTCTCTTGGTAGAACGGCAATAGCTGCGGCAAACAGAACGCTGTGCATGCTCATGGTGCATAGAACAGGGAATCATCACGAGAAGTTTTGGTGTTGCTCAGCATGTTTCAGCCCGTTATCCAACATATCCCGCAGCGTAAAGACATGTCGGGCATTGGGGCCATGCCCTTTGTGTACTTTGCTTGGCTGCCAGATTCAAAAGCGAGGCTCAGGGTAAAGATCCTCTGAGAGGGGTTCATGGGGGATAAATTGGGGCTTGATTCATGTCGGCCGTGAGTTATTGAGACTGCATCTACTGGCCACTTCTTAATCGTCGGCTCGCTTGTTGTGAGAACGATGGTAGTTGTCACATTCTCGTTGCAGTACAGAACCAATCCTGGATGCTCCGAGCTGTGAGAGTCTCCAGAGTCGAAGCCCTGCCGCCATCTTGGTGTTGAGGACGAGGCAGCCGCACGTTCAGCTGGACAAGCAGGAAATCGCAGGGGCCTCCGGACAGATCACCTGCAAGCTGAAACTAACGGAAAGCCGCAAAATTCATCTGCCGTATATCTTTTTGTTTACTGTCTGAATAAATACGCGTATGGATTTGTGTATGCCTACGGGCGTGCATGTATGTCAGTATCATTTTTTGCGTTGTGTATGCATGTTCCCACGTTGTTGCTGGCGTTTGCATCTTTACTTGGGGCTTCCATGCTCTGGCTTCTTGTGTCTGGGCTGAGCGAAAAGGAATTGGAATTTCCAGGATGTCGCGCGAAATAATCTACGAAAGTCTGGAGATTCTGGAGATGTGGCTTCGTCACTATAGGAGCTTTGTCCAGGATCCGGTTATTTTGATGTCATGCTGGGGTCACCACGGTCGCCTTTTGGGGCTCGCAGCCGGCTCAACAAAGTCCAGGCTGCCCCTTTTCCATCTTTTGTTAGGCATAGGAGTGTACCAACTGACAGGCACGGAAAAATGCACACACTTAGCAAATCCTGATCAGTGGGACATTCTTGAACGAATCTTCATACCGTAGCAGTGTCAGCGTCACAGTCACACCAAAATACAGACCCATATGCTGCTTCCCGTTTCATATGTACAGAAAAGAGATATATATAGAGAGAGAGGTCTTGTCACTGTTTGACAGAGCTGAACGGGTTGAAACCGAGTGTTCAGCCCGTCATGGATGACTTGACTGTCACAGCACACGTTATTTGGATTGGTTTAGGGGGGTACGACATGTGGCAGACAGGCGAACATGCGAGCCGCGAGGGGTACGCCTTCGGGCCAGCGGTCCATGGGGCCCCATACCCCAAGCAAGCAAGCAAGCAAGCCAGCGAGAGAGCGCTGAGAGACAGAGAGAGAGAGAGAGGGAAAGATACGATCCAAAAATGCTTGTGTTGCAGAGGTGGACACGGCGTCTGAGCTGCTCCTTGGCTTCGGGCTGTCGGAGCCGCCGGACGTATCCTTGCAGCCACTTGGACACAGCAGTCACGACCAGGACTACCAGGATTAGCATGATGGACAGAGCAAAGATGAGTGATAAGAAATGGGCTCCATCGGGTAGGCACGGTCATAAGATTCAAGTGGGATGGGCTTAACCTTAGGTGCAGTGAAATGCAGTATAGAGGGGCCTGCACTTGGGGTGAGGAGACGGGTAGCCAGCCTACACTGCTGAGTCGCTCCTCCTCGCTCGCACGTGCCATTCAGAATCGCTTCTCACTTATCTTACTATTATTTTGCAAGTGACAGTGAGTCGGCGGACTTTAGATGCGTGTCTTTGGGAAATGTCTTTTTCTGTGCGGAATGCTGAGTCCACCAATGTGGCTATACTTGGAGACGGTTTCTATGGTGCTATCTGGGGTTTCAAAATCAGCATCTGCCTCAACGAGATGTGATGTGCCATTAAACGTTGAGACCCTGAACTGGTTTGTAATAATTGGTACTTGGTGCTGGCGTGTGCTTACGTGGCTCAACGGCACATTCTCCTTTGCAGACCTTCGTTCGAGCATCGCCTGGATTCGTCCAAGTCCGAGTGTGGGGTCAAGAAGACCCGAACTGCCAACAACCACCAATTGATCTTTGTGGTCTGTGGCATGTTCACATTCCCGGTAGAACGTCAGAGGCAGGCGACAACCTAATTTGATACCTATTATTCACGCAGCACTGCAGTCTGCACATGACTTGGAAGTTGGAAGATGGGAGCATCTATATAGTCGGGCCAGCTATGCTGCGAGTCGGTTAGACCTGGTTGTATTCATTTGGTTGTCCTGTTAAATCCGCAATTCGCAGCCCACCTAGGTAGTGTCCCCGTATCCTGAGAAGCCTGCGTTTCGGAGGTTTGCAACCGACCTCGGCTTGGAGAAGTGTCGCTGGGAACCGTTGGACGGCTGTTGCAAGCTGTTTATCCAAAGTTGGCTCCACTGGTCGGGTCCAGGGCTGGTTCTCAGGCGTTTATGGCTTTGGGCTTTGAGGAGCCTTTGAAAGTCTGAGGGCTTGGTGTTTAAAGTTGTGTGGCTCGGCTCATACGTGGCCTAAGCTAAGATTCTTACCTAATTGGAGGCCGCAGCTTGACATTCGACATCTTAGGTTGGTTGGATAGAGGCTTGGCCGTCGGGAGTATGGCTAACGTGAGACAGGTCTAACCTACGACCAAAAATCAATGACAGGATTGCCGGCTGACTCGATGCCCCAACACTGAGACTGTCTTCGGAGCTGATCGATGACT